GAACTAAACTCGCGACTTCCACACCGGAAATTGCTGACTTTCTGTAATGATGTATATTGTGTCTCTTCAAGAATTTGGACATTGTCAATTGGAGACGTAACGCAGAATAACTTTGGATCAACATCTACACTACGGTTAATGTGCGAATATGAACATAAACTAATAAAAACTAATAAATTTCGTAAAGTTATAAAAGAGTGACTCAATATGCTGGATTATCCGATTATTTCAGACTAATTTGCATATAAAATTTGTATAAATGTTGGACTCTTTATTTACGTAGGCATTTGACAAAATTAGTTTGGAAATACAGAACGATACAATTAGTAATGATTTTGGATAAATCAAAATACGGAAATCCGTTCTTGATAGAAAAATATATTGGTTTCGTGCTAATTATAACTGTGATTTAATTACCAAACACTAGTCAGTTTCGTCAGAACTGGGATTTTTATTGACCTCAGATTGAATCATTATGCATTTCCCAAAATATTTTTAGTAAAATCAACAGCAGTCAAAATGCATTAAGAAGTACAACATTGCTTTCGCAAAATTGGAAAGGTGATTTGCGTTTACAAAATCACCTCTCCGCAAACAAAGATTTTTAAAATGTACGGCAATGGCGCGATAGAAGTTCGATGATATTTTTATAAGAGAAAGATATAGTGTCATTTTTGGCACAGGATTCAGTATACTGAATACTGATTACGCTACTTTGAGAATACATAATATGTATCTGATAATAATTTCGTAATCAACGACCCTAAAAAACTTTGAGTTTAGATTTTTAGATCAGTTGGTCCAGTTTTTGATATTTGTCGTGCTTTTTGAGGATCGGCTGCGGTGTAAATCGGATAGGAACAATATTGCAACGGGACTCTTTTTCTCAAAACGGCTTCTTTTATTGTATTCAATTTGTTTCCAGCAAAAGGGTCAGGCTTTTTAAAAATATGATGTATATAGATTACAAAATATCATTTCGTTAGGCCTAGCCCTCTTTGGCGATCTATATGAGTTGTTTTCCATGCTCATCATTACATATGAGGACCTAACCGACTACTATGCTGTAAAAATTTTGTTGAATTATACAGCGCATCGATTTCCGGTAACGTCCATAATGGCCTGTAGTATATTTTTAATAGGAACTATATCCTTCGGAGAGACTGAAACGGTATTCTGGAATATCTATGCCACTACAGTCATTAATATGATTTAAATATTTTGTATATCCTATACGTATGTAGGTAAATCAAGGATCATGACGTTGAATACTCATTTTACATTTGTCTAGTAGCCTAGTATCAATAGAAAACAGATCCGCAGGGGTATTATGTAAGAAGTCTAAAAAACGTAAAAAAAACGACAAACTTTATCTTGCAGACTAGGTAGTGATTAGTGTGCATTTAGGTCCTTACCTATGGAGAGAAGCGCTCTTCCTCAATGGACCATTGATCAGTTTAATGAAAGCTTAGATGAGTCTTTGGATAAGTCATCAAATCAGTCATTACAAATAATGTCGTCTTCCACAAGAACCATTAACGAGTACATTAAAAAAATACTAAATTTGTGATATTTGGGAAATTTAGTGTCCATCTTGGATAATTACTGATAATTGTTGATAAAAATATCCTGTTTTTTGTATAATCTTAATCAAAAAGGACTCCATTTAATGAATCTGCATGTTTCCAGGCCCAAAATTGCGTCAAAAATTGTTTATATAGTCGTTTAAGCAAATTCCAAAAACTTTCTTTTTGCTCTGGACACAGCTGTCAGGTTTATTGGGGCGCTTCTGAGCAAAAAAGAGGTCAGGTTAAATAAAGCTTGCAGAGAGGTACTGATAAACTTTTCTCTATTGTTGATAGCTTTCGAGGTATAAGCGATTAAATATTTGGATATGTCCTCAGGGAGCTCAATCCTTAAGAACCCCATAATTTTGCAGAATAGAATGTTAAATATGTCAATTTTAATTGAACCTGTTCGACTAACTTGATTCAATTTTTTTTTGTCATACATTTCCGTAGCTAATTTTTATGAACTGACTAGCTGACCCGACAGACGTTGTCCTGTCTTAGCTATGAACTGTGATGAATAATGTATAATAAAAGGGCAAATATATGGAATATAGGTAATTGTATAGCGAAGTGTTTGTACCGCCATTTGGCTAGCAAAATACGTTGGCAGCACCCCCACAACTTACCTTGACAGTAGGCATGAAATTATGTCGAATAATATTTTGGTGCGCCAAATGAAGTCATTTGAAATCAATTATTGTATTGCTGGATATGAGTCAAAAAATGTATAGAATCTGGCCCATTTCAGGAAACCAATGATTCGTTGTGAACTGTGATCGATTGCCACGTCATAATTGAATGCAGCTCGATTGGGATTAAGTTAAGCGATAATATAAATTGGTGCCGTGCGAGCTGTCAAGTTCAAAATGCTAGTGAAAGTCAATTAAGCAAAAGAAAAGTATTTTCATCCGCCATTTTTATTCATAGAGTTGACTGACAAAGATAATTAGGCAACACTGCAGTTTCTTTTAAAGAGGCCATCACAAAGTACTGATGGTAAAGAAATGTAAGTTCAAAAACAAAAGCACCGTGTTTTCATAAGCAATTTTCTCTCACATAGCTAACTGTCAATAGCTGTTGGAATAAAGATGGCGGATAAGAGTGCCTGTCTGTTTTGGTACTTGAGATATTTCTTCTGCTGTGCGTACTCCATGCTCATGCAAACTGACAATCGCGCGTATCTTAAGTAATCATTACGTTTTCAATGATTTCCCAATTTTCTGCGCAATTTTCTTGATTTTTCTTTCCATAAGAACCTTGTATACAGCATTAGGAAACTTAAAAAAAATGAATGGAATCGATAAAGTCGTTCTCAAGTTATGACCACGCGAAATAGGGATTAATTTTTATATATAGATGACAGCGTTGCGTAGGAAGTGCAGAGTCAACCAACTTGACGCCATTTTCCTATCTATGGAGAGAAACGCTACTCCTCAATGGGCCGTTGCGATCGATGATGATTATTTCTCCAGAAAAAAACAGTTTTTTTACTTCTCTTTGGAACACCCGTTATGAACTGCTCAAAAAACCCTGGATGGATCATGGGATGAGTCATCGAATCAGTCATTACAAATAATGACTTTTTCCACAAGGATCATTAACAAAAACAAAAAACAAAACATTAAAAAAATATTAAGTTTGTGATATTTGGGAAATTTAGCGCCTTATTGCATAATTAGTTCGGTTCATTTTAAAATGAAGAAACAAAGCCGTACAGATGATTGTTCTAGTCTTTAAGCTAATGGGAAAGAAATGAGCCGACATTTTATATCAATTGGAGGAATACTCAATTCCTTGATATTGCCTCGTGTAGCCACTGAAAAATTGGATTGTTTTGGAAAAGATGTAAAAAATATGCTCTCATTGGTTCCATTTATAAAGATACTGAAGGACGAAAGACAATTTATAGGTAGTAAAACGAACGATTTTCTTATTCAAACAATACCCAAAAAATATGTCTATATTCATATTTCTAGTGAAATCAACTGTTGTCATTCAGTTTGGTTCTTCTCGAGTCTCAACTTGCTCTCATGGTCCAGGAGGTATTTACGCATCCTCTTGGAAACATACTAAATATTACAGAATCTCATGCTTTACATAAAAAGCAAGCAGTTAAGTTTTCTTTGCTTCCACCAAAATATGGAAGCAAATGAATATCAGCTGGAAATAAAAAAAGTAAAAAGTCTAGTTCCTTAAAGAATGCCAGTATGACTGAAGAGGCACTCACCTTGAAAATGCTCAAAAACCAGACTTAGCCAGTGTCACTTTTAATGACCAACTGAATGACATACGAGAAATCTTGGTATTGCTCGATGAAAATTACATTTAGTTATGATCAGTTATGATCAATACTATTTCATGGTTCTCAAAACGAATTATTTCTCTACTCCGGGTCCCCAGCGTCACGTCCTGGGCACCCGGAGAAAATGAAAGCTGTAGTACAAGGAAACTGTAGATTTACGTACATCTTATATTTACTGCATTTTATACAAGAACTACAAGCAAAATCCCTACCTAGCACTTATAGTCAAACTAGCAATACGTTTTCCCAAAAAATATGCGCAAGTAAAAATTTGTGCGACTGTTTATCAAAATAGAAAATTCAGATTTTAGATTTGCAAGCTCCACAACGCCTAGCAGTATTTTTGAACGTGGACAAAGTAGGGCGTTTCGAAAAACTCTGGAATGTGGTCTGAAGTTATATCTTTTCTGAGATGCGTTTAACCTGTTTAACTACAAATGACTGATTTTACAAAAATCAAATATCCCAAGAAAATGCGAACTTGTTTCTCACGGATGTCATACGACCTACAGAAAATATTTTAAAACGAGCTGAGGAAAACAGCTTTGATTCTATGGGAACTTTGTTAAAATATCCGAAAAAGATATACCAAGAATGTAAGAAATTAAACTAGTTTTTCATAGTTTTTCTTTTCGGGCATCTCAACTTTTATGAACGTCTAAATTTTAGTATTTTATGCATCGTTGCGCTTTTTTATTGAAACTTGTTACAACTACAGCATACAAATTACAATGAGAGGGTTTCACTATGTACACAAGCCAAATAGCTTACATTACGTAGCCCTACGTAAAGCTTACCATGTTGGAAATGCAGTACACCAACTTAATCTTGTTATTTACTCGAAAAAATCACAGTCGTCCTTCATGAAAAAAACGTGAGTAATAAGAATTCAAAGATTCGGAGCACACACAATCCTGACTGCGATCAATTACTTGATGTGGCTTGCCTGCAATTGGCATCAAACGCATCGCACAGTGCAAGTGAACTTGACCCCCGTCCCCCAAGTAAGCACATGTGCTCCAGGAGGTGGGGGTCCGATTGCCCGGAATGCTGCTGCCTGATTGGCCAGCGAAAGTACATCGGTCTTAACTATGTATATATTTACAAAACACCTATCGCTCCGGTGATAGATTTGCACGCACCGTATTGCTGAAATTCTGCGGTCACTTCTTTGGATTTACTTGTCATTCGCTGGATTTTAAGTGCTGGAGTGATCTGAACTCTCTATCGATATTTTGGTGGTGTGATTTGAAGAAAAAATAGTGAGTTTGGAGCGTTTTGGAAGGAGAACAGTGGGGTGGTTGCTATTTTTTTGTTTTGTGGTGTGGTGGATTGGATTATTTTTAATCGGGCAGGTACTGATCTTTTTTGTTTCATTCCCTCCATTTCTTTTTGACAAAACTTAAAAATCATAATTCCGAAGCAGTTGCGATGAAATCGATTTCTAAAACTTCAACGCATTCCAAACAATAGGATTTTATTATATATTTGATCCGCCGATTTTTTTTTTAATTTAAACCAAAGATAAACAATTTTAAATAATATTTTTGACTTATTCCATATCCAATCAGTATTAGATTCATAACCAAAATATACTTTTGCAACCATGAAAAACAAAGGAAAATACTTCATGGAAAAACGAAGACAATAATTAATTGTATTATCATATCTGCAAGTGCATTTGATTGTGATTTTCAATACTAATTTGGTTACCATTTTGATTGATCATTGTTATTAATTGAATTTCATATTGACAAAAAACTACCTACACAAAATTTCAGACACTGATGTTAATTTAGTGTTACTGATTGGTTCCAAATGCTCTAAATGATAGTAAAATTCCCTGCAAATGTTCGTTCCATTTGGAGTTACTGATATTAGCTGCCTGAGATAATCCTCACTTCTAGGAAAGGCCATCAGTTCCAAGGCATATAAAAATTCCTCGGTTTCTTGGTTCGTACCACTAGAAGTTCGGGTTTGTAATTGGTAAAAGATAATAGAAAATTGAACATAAAATTTAAACATTTTTTTAATACCATGACTAATTCAAGTCCAATCAACAACATTGTTTAACATATTGAACTTTATTTATGAATTTTAGCCTTAAAATGCATGTTCAAAAAGATTTTTCTTTCGTGTTTGAAAGTTCTATCGCTAATAAAAGTTTGATTATAATCCGGGCTTTTCTGCATAGGATCACAAATGCTTCCTAGTTCAGCTAGAATTGATGAATTATATGTAGTTTATCATTTATGCTTGTTCATCTCATTCACATGTAGCTTATATCCTATGATCTACATTTTACGCTGATGCACTTGCTAGCAATAATTTAATCAAAATTCTTGTTCATTGCTAACTATTACTTACCTATTTACTCGCACGTGTATAAATGTTTATGTAAAGATCAAAAATATTCTATTAATCTGCTGTAAAATAATAAAATGCCACCAAGATCCACAACATTTCGTGTGCTGGTCTAATTCTAATATCAACATTACACTAAACTGATATAGGTATATACTTACAACACGTCCTATCAATCTCAAATACAACAAATTAGATATGAAATAATTCATTGACCATGATTTGATTGAAGTCTGGAATATTCGCTGCCAACAAAAAAAATTAAACACCTGATGTGCAATTTTAATTTCCCGGCAAGATAGTAATTAACGTAACCAAAAGCTGTCATTTTGTTTATTCCAACGTATGTAGTTAAAGTAACAATAATTCAAGTTTCATGTGAAGCTCAGAAGAATCATTCGAATGATTCAAAAATATTTATTTTGAATAGAAAATTGACTGATTGTATTTCATAAAAAGAACAGTTAAAAGAATTAAAGAACAGACAGTTGCCTCCTTTGAACCCTCCATTCCATATTTTCAAACTGTAATTTTACCCGTAAAACAAATTTAACAGAAAAGTTCTCTCCCTGCGTTAAGTCTAAATCTTTATTTAATATGACCAAGTTTCATGTATGCTCCAATAAGCGGTATGAGTTATGATAGAACTATGTGTATTGGAAAGACTATTTTGGTTTCACTTATCTAACGTGACTAGGCCACTCTCATTTCGCACAGCAACCATCCTCAAAATCAGTGCTTATTATTACCTAATTCTGGCTATGAATATAAAACATTTACTACTACAGCTACCTACATAACTGAGTCCGGATAAGCACAAATCTTGTCAAAGCTCGTAAAGCACACCACCTCACTGATTTCCTCATAGTGTACAAAAATATAATTGCGATGTTCCTTATCTCTGAATTTTTATCAGAACAGGAGAAAATACTGACAACACGATAAAAGTCAGGGCTGCCACAACACAGCTGAACTTGAACTTGCCATTGAAACCAGCTATAAACACAATATTCTGAGTGAATAAACGCTCCATATTATTTCATATCGCAAATTAAAAAAAAAGAAGCGGTGGAATAGGAAACACTACTGAACTTGATCCTGGCATTGAAAGTCATTGTATACGTAACAGCCTGTTTTTAATTTTGAAACGAGATACACAGTTTCGAGACTCAAGTAAAAACGAGGAATCCAATATAACAAAAGCAATTAAAGCTATAAAATGAAAGAGTTTATGACCGTGTGGAATGGTCTGTGGGGAAAAACTTATGATGCTGTCAATACCAAGCCTTCTACCTCTACTAGCCATAGGAAAACTAGGACCACATTAGATGGGGCGAATGAAAAGCTTCGCTGGACTTGGAATAGATATAAAAGTAAGTTTGTTATTGGTGAATGGTGGTGGGTTATATCTTACTTCCTACGCCACTGGCGTGGAAGCATTGCAATCTCGAAAAATTTCTTAAATAAGATATTATGTTTTTTGGATATTATATAACATGTACAAGTACATCACGAAAAACCATGTCAGTCATTTCCGTCGGTCTGTCTATCTGTCTGTGTGACTGTCTGACTGCTGATCCTCTATAACGTGGAAAGGGTCTGCCGGATTTTGGTCAAACTTTAACACAAGTTAAAAGTAAAAAATCGAAATAGCTCAAACTTCTTTTTTTGACATTTTAGAGGATCCTTACCATTTTTGAAAAAAAAATTAAGGCTTGAAAAATTGAGAGATGGGAGGTTGTAGGGAGGCGGGGAAGGGTATATCTCAATTTTTTTATGGTGATATACTTATAGGCCTCCAGCACTGGCAAATCTACGCACCTTTTAGACATATTTCACACAACACATATCTCTTCGTGCATTTATCCTTAAAACATAGAATGGTGGAGAAGTGTTTCCGACCCTCGCGAGTCGATCATATGTATCGCGGTCCTGCCGATGCATGTGTGTAGCAGTCGGCCCCCGCTGCTCGACTGGATGTGAATCAATCGTCATCCACGCCTGATGAACACATAGTTTCGATCACATTATGTGCCGAGGGAGAGCCATCCATCTAGAGATATCTTTTATGTGAAGGCGTAACTGCTTCCAGAACTTTTTGAAGAGCAAGAGAAAGCATATTTTCCCAGGGAGACAAATCCTGAAGAACCCCAAAATTGTTAAAAAAACATAGTAAATGTGCAAATCTTAATTGTATGAATCTATTTGACTTACTCGATCGGTTTAATTTTTTTTATACATATTCGTAGCTCACATTTTTTCTCGCCGAACATAATCCTTTATGAACTGATCACAGTGGTGCTTAGGAAATGCAGAGTCAACCTACTTGACGCCATTTTCTTTTCGAGGCAATATTGATCCCAAAAAAGGCTTGAACCTTCGAACGGACTTGATTACCTAATGATAATTACTGAAATAGAACTCCACACAATGTTGCTTTCTCTCATAAAGTATCTATCAGTTGTTTAAGTGTATAGTACACACTTGTATGACACGTACAGAAACATGCAGTCGAGTAGATTGACTTGAACTAATTTAATCTGATTTCGGAAAAATCACCAATTCTTTCTGGTATCAGATGGTCTTCCATGTGCCGGATATAGTAGAACGTTCTTTAATGCCAAACTGTACAAAGGATTAAAAATTAATAGATTGAGGTGTTGAAATATATCCGGACAACTCTGACGATAGATAGCTATGGCCAAGGGAAGGTACATTAAAGTCGGAAATATAAAGACCAGGACAGGACCATATTTGCTTTGGCAAAAATTTTTGCTCTTGAGAACAAACAGAAAATTATTTTTAAAACATTTGTTCCCTTCTCTATTATACGGAAGGTAGAGTCGGAAAACTTATCCACGTTTCATATATTTTTCATTTATGTAGTTTTATGATCTAATTTCCAAGAATTGAGACTGTCTTCTGCACACCAACCGTCTATATATGGAGTAGATTCATCAATCTGCTGTATCATAAATACTATTAAATTAACAAATAGAGATATACGAGAGATTAGATCATGCTATTACGCAGATAAGAAGAAAAAACAGCAAATTACAGATATAAATCATTGGTCGCTCTGTTCTGCACGAAAATTTCCGAAGGATGTTTACCCACGTTTGAGTATAACCAATTACCTTCTGAAATTGCTACGTATCGGTGGAAAATTTCTAATACAAGCATCTAGAATCTGCGAATGTTCTGGGAGGAACATGAACTCCTTCAAAAAATATTCTCCCTTTGGTTAGTTCAAGCGCTTCAAGCTGTGCAGTTCCCTGGTTACGCCTGTTTCGGTTGATCCGCAGCATTTTATAAAATCTAACAACCGGAGATGGTTTTGATTTAATCTGTCGTAGAAGTTATTGGTGCTGTTAAGCACTTGCTTTGCGACTCCCCAATTGATCTAACAAAGAGAACGTATTGTGAGGAAACGTTAGCCATCTATACCTGAAGTAAAAGCAACTCAGATGTATCACATCACCATTTTCTTCAATAGTTTAATGTGGCTGATGATCCAGCACTAGGGTGATATCTGTAAATGTCATGCAAGAGGTCCCATTAGATCTAAGTGCTGCGTATTGGCTGATATTACACTCCCATCAATACAGACTACAGAATGATGACTGTACCACAAACGGTCAAAATAGTTGAAAAGAACATGTTTGCTTTCCGTCTCCTGTAACCATGACCATCCGCAGACAGCGCTGTTTCGTGCTCATTGGCAACTCATTAATTCGATGTAGGTCTTACAATCACGTCGCGTGATGAAGACGATAGGGATACCCTAACGCTCTCTAGCTCATAGCGCTCGACGCAGAGATGCCGCATCACGCATCACGGTCAACGTGTCAAGTGGTCGGAATTCCAGAGTAGAGCCACAATGGCCTTTTCTATGCATATGCTAAAAAGAGCATGTTTGCTTTGCGTCTTGTGCAACCATAACCAACCGCAGACGGCGTTGTTTCGTGTTTATTAGCCATTATTGCGGTGTAGGTCTTAGGTCAAAAATGTATCTGGAAAATGCTCCATGATTGTCTGACCGCTAAATGAAACTACATAATGTTTAAATTACTGTTACGGACATGACGTTTCGGCCACCACGATGTCCTTTTTCAAGTGCAAATGACAAGTCTTATGTCAATACATTTTGCTTATCTGTCTTTCGGGTTTGCTTCCCTGATTTTTGCATTTCTATACAGTGTTGTTACATCAGTCTATATACCATGCTGAGACTGCGCGAAGTCATCATTAAAACTTAAAGTGGCACCGCGTTAAGGCAGCAAAACCCTGAACTGACTGTAGTAGGCACGCCTGCTCCCAAAAGGACGTTCAGCTTCCCATATCGACAAGCGAGCATGAGATTATCTCTCGTTTTACTTCTCACTCTCACTGGCGATGGAATGTCGTAATCGCAAAAAATTTCGATATTAAGATACTATATTATGATCCACATAACCACTATAATTTGGATTTTGATGTAACTAGCACACTATGTTACTACTATGTCAATGTCCAAAAAGCTTTGTAGCGTTCGAAAATCGGTCTAGTGGCAGCGTTGGCAAAAGGCACAAAATAAAAAGAATTAAAAACCGCCCAAACTTCGTTTTTTGACATTCAGAGGCTTATTTTCGGAAAAACCTTTGTAAGGGTTGAAAAGCAATATCTCAATTTTTTCATATCAGTATATTATCAGGGTGTTCCTCAATGATATGCGAATATTTAAGGGTGTGAATCTACATGAAAAATTAATGTTAGTTTGCTTTATAAGCTATGGTCCAAAAATGTTTCCTTACAGTTTTAGGAAAAAAAATGGAAATTAATTAATATTTTCAGAACTGCTTCAGATATTTCACTGATATTTAGTACTTAGTGAAAGTTGATAAAGTTGCATATTTTTCAATGCAAAGATAATGTTTAGCTTTAACAGTGGCGTGCGGGTATTGACTTCTACATTTTTTAAGAAAAAACTGGTTCGCTAATAGTTTTTAGCCAAATAAAATTATTTTTGAATTCCCCGTTCAATTAGAAACAAATGATCTCTCTCGAATTGTTTTCCTTCGATGCGCCATTTTTGAGTAAAAAAAATAAAAACCGTTCTATTGTCTAACTTGCAAAATTATTATAAATTTAATTGGAAAAATTAAACACATTAGGGGTAATGAACAACAACAACTGATAACATAAACATAACATTAAAACCAAAAAAATGATTACAAAAATTGTTGAAAATGGCCCACTTCACCTAGTATGCATGCTTCAGCCCTCCTTCTCAAGGAATTGCGCACTCGTTGAAATATCCCTGGAATGTTTTTTGCTGGAACTATTCTTTCTCTTAATTCCTTTACAGTGTTGATGGCACTTGTATACACTAGTATCTTAAGATAGCTCCACAAAAAGAAATCTAAACTGTTGAGGTCTGTGGACCTTGGTGGACATTCTTGAGGCCCACCGCGGCCAATCCAACGATTTGGATAAACAGTTTGTAAATAATTACTAACCGCTACACTGAAATGCGCTGGTCCACCATCATGCATGTACCACATATTGTTTCTTATTACTAAGGGAACATCATCAAGCAGCAAAGGCAACTGTTGTTGAAGAAAATTAAGGTAAGTCTGTCCGTCAAGTCGTCCCGGCAAGAAGAATGGGCCCATAAAGTGGTTGCCAATAATTCCTGCCCATACGTTAACCGAAAATTGGTGTTGGAAATGGGTTTCGGTTACGGCATATTGATTTTCTTCTGCCCACAAATGCTTATTGTGGAAATTCTGAATGGCATTTCGAGAAAAATTAGCTTAGCCCGTGAACAGAATCATTGATTCAAGTTGCGAATTTTGTGTATTTTTTTGAAGATACCACTGACAAAAGGTCATACACCTTGGAAAATCAATGGGAAGTAATGCCTGTACTCTTAAAATATGGTAAGGATATAACAAAACATCCACTAAAATTCTCCAAACAATTTAATGGCAAATATTTAAGTGTCTAGCGGTCTTCCTCGTACTCGTTTCAGGATGTTATTCGGCTTCGTGCAGCACTGCTTCCTCAATATCAGATGTTCTCACACTTAGACGTCTACCTTCAGATGTTCCTTTTCGGACAGAACCAGTTTCAACAAGCCGACGATGAATATTAGAAAAGGTTCGACTATCTGCCAAAGCACGATCGGGATATATCTGGTGATAAATCCGTCTGGCTTGCTCACCATTACCGTCGGCAAGGCCATATACGTAATGCATTTCTGCATTTGAATAAATCACCATTATTAACAGATTTGAATAACAGAGACTTGTCAGATGTCAAAATCCAGTGACATATTCCAGAGCAACTAGATATTTATTGCTAAATTGCATTCTTCAATGATTACATTAAT